GGACTGAATTTGCATTGTCTCTTGGAGTTCCTTGGGCTAGGCCTGACATCAATCTTCCCACGCTCTTCTGGGGAGCTACAAGCAACAGCAGAAGAAATCCTGGCATGACAACTTTTCATCCAGATCTTCAAATCAGGATATTTTGAGGTATACCTAGGTTGATAAAATAACCCTCACAGAGGATGGATGCCTCATCCAGGTACTGTAAATGTACAGAGTCTCCAAGCACAGGAAATCAGGAGCAGTCTGATAGCACCTTTTCCAACTAACAGATGTTATAAAAAGGTGTAAGCTTTCAGGAGCTTTCAGGTAGCCCACTTCATTAGATGCATAAAGTGGCTCGACTGATTTAAATTGAGGTGAGGCGGGAAGGGGGAAGGGAGGGGAAGACAAGTTGCTTATGCAGATGCAGATTACATGTTAGATAGACAGACAGACAGACTTTATTACAGTCCTAACCAAAAGGAAAAAAAAGCCCATCAAAGTAAAACATTGCAAAACCATGGAGTTACAACTCATAGCCGGGGTGAGTTTTGCATACAGTATAACACAGCCTGGCAGCATCTGAAGACACAAAATTGTCTTTGTTATCTAATGAGTAATGTAAGTAGAATAAATCAGAATGCTCTGGAAATTTAGAGAAGAGAGGGGAGGTCAACTGCAAAGGAGTGCCCTAAAGAATTGGCAGTATAGTAAAACACGGGCTGTAGTTTCTGTTGCACCTGCATGACAGGGGCACTGCCATTTAGCAAAGGAGAATTTCCAGTATTTCCCTTCCAATGCTATTCTTCTGAATTTTGAAACAGTGATCTTGATCAAATAACTGGTCAATTTGTATTCTGGAAATCTGCTTCAGGTTGGGTAGTTATATGCAAGTATGGGCCTGCTGTCTACCCAGATTTACCCACCCCAAAAGATCAATAAACAAATCAATACAGCCAAATTGTTTCCCATGGAGGACCTATTAAAAGACAGACCAGAACAATACTGGGGAGCCACTCAAGCACATTATTAATAAGCTACAGCCTGTACTGGACAATGACACTGTACTTTCTCAGGCACTGGATGACAGGCTCATACTTGCGTACAAACAACTACTCTATCATCCCTTTGAGGTTATCTAGATCAGGGAACAGACTCCACAAGAAGACAACAATCCTTTTTTTGAGATAGGCAATGGATCTTGCAAGTCTGACTGTGTTTTATCTTTCCTCCCTCTTATACCTCAATGAGTCAGGGAAGAGATAGCCTGAAATCTCTTCCTAATACTGCCTCCTTTCCCAGGGCTTAAGGATAGCTTCTGCCCTTTTTGTTTTTGGAATGGCTTCTGAATGGCTCTGAACGTCCTTATCTGTGGCTCTGAATGGCTTATCTGTGGCTCTCTACACCCCTAGCCTGAAGCAAATTCTCACAAGCAACAAGAAACAACAGGGCAATGATGCTCAAATGGGAACCAGACCTGCAACAAACCCGGATGTCTGTCCTCCCACACATCTACAACAACAGCATCATCACAGACCCCAACAAGTACACATACAAGATTAGAGATGCCTTCACACGCTCTTCCTCTAATACAATATAAGCCATCAGCTCCCAGCAATGCCCCTTTAGATTCTGTGTAGGACAAATTTTGTGAAAAGAATTAATGGACAAAGTCTGACATCAGGACTCAAAACAAGGACAAACTGATATCAGAGTATTTCAACCTGCCAGGACACTCTGTTGAAGATTTCAAAGTGATCATTTTGGAAAATGAGACTTTAACAGCACTATTGAATAAGAGATTACTGAACTCACATACTTCAAAAGATTTTAGGCTATCTCAAAAGGTCTCAACAAACTGAAAGTGTTTTTAACATATTACAATTGTTAACTGATAAGGTACTGACAATCTGTCTCATATGTAACCTGCATCTACATAACCAACCTGTCATCCCCTCCCTTCCTCCCCACCATTCACTCCAATTTAAGCCCTACATCAGTCAAGCATTCTATGCACTGATGAAGTGAGCTGCAGCTCAGGAAAGCTAATGCCTTTTAATAAAATGTGTTGCAGGTAGGCCTTGCTTAACAACTGTTCATTTAGTGACCATTTGAAGTTATGACGGTGCTAAAAAGGTGACCTACAACTGGTGCCTGAAGTTACAACTGTCGCAGCACCCCTGCGGTCACACGATTGCAATCCGGGCACTTGGCAACCAGCTCACATTTATGATGGTTGCAGGGTTCTGGGGTCATGTGATCACCATTTGCAACCTTCCCTACTGGATTCTGGCAAGCAAAATCAATGAGGAACCATGTGATTCGCTTAATGACCACTGTAAAAGGTTGTAAAACCGTGTTCAGTTATGTGATGATTCACTTAATGACCACATCACTTAGGGACCTAAATACCAGTCCCAATTGTGGTCGTTAAGCAAGAACTACCTGTAGTCGAAAAGGTGCTACCAGGCTGCTCCTGATTTTTGGCTGCCATAGACTAACATGGCTCTCCTACAATGTCCAAGCACAGGAATATATGTGTGCTACCATCTATTTTATCATGATTTATCATATATATCATAACTGACAAATTAAGTCAAATACATTTTAATTCTGCCATGACAAAATCACCAGCTTTTTCTCTTTTTCCTCTACGCATGAAGTACTGTTTAGGTGAAGATTTTGGAAGGAAATTGACATTCAGCTGAATTCATATCAGTTGTAGATTCTTTTAAAAAAAACGAGAACTGAGGAATCAATACACCATAGAAGATTAGCAGGAACATCTACAACTCATCAGCTCCACAATTTCTTATGGGCTATAAATAAGAAGATGGCTTGCAATTCCATGAGAAAGAAGAAAATGACGGTTCTCAGAAGTAAAAAGGGCAGCTTTCTGTTTACCTAGGAGTCCAAGCACCCAATTTTCAGATGTTCAAGTAAGTCAATCTGTAATAATACAAAAGAGAAAGAAAGCATTGTAGAAACAAATGAAAGTGCATAAGCAGCGCTGAATCCTTTTTCTTTATGGAAGTCGCACTCCACCCAATTCCTCTTTTCCGCAAGAAAGAGAAATATCACATCAACTCTAGATCATAATCGAAAAAGCTTTAGGCAACAATCTCCCTTGATAAATTCTAGGGAAGCGTCTCTTAGAATCCCCCCAATTCAGCACTTCAGTGTCTCCAAGGAGACAAACTGGAGCAAAACCCTGCCTCGAAATCGTCCCTCTGGCCTTCTCCTAATCCTGACAAGCTTCGTAGAGTTTTCGGGTTTTGTACACGCGGATTTGATTTCACCCTGCCCCTGGTGCTGAAAAGGCGCTCTGCCCACGGCTCAGAGACGAGATAGGACGGGGCGGGGGGGGGGGCTTGTTAACAACAGAGAGGCTGCTGCGTCCCGGCACTGAGAACAAGCTCGAGGGCGAAGTCCCCGGCTGGCGTCCCTTTAAAAATCCAGGATCTGGCAGGCAAGAAGGAAGCCCTTCTTCTTCCGCAAATGTCCCCAGTACGCGAGGGCACATATTCTTCTAACAGAGGATCCCCCGTGCCGGGCATCCAGCGTGGGGGAAAGAGACGAGAGCCGCCGCAGGTAGAAGAACGGCAGAAGCCCTCCAGGCCCGCCTTAACTCCCCCGCCCACCCACAAGCGGGAACGCCCGGCTCGGCTCCTCCAGCCGAAGAAGCCCCGACCACACGCTTACACCCGGCCAACCCCTCCCCGTGGTCCCCCCACCACCAGCCCCCGCAGCAGCTGCTGCTTCCGCTGGCCTCAGCACGTAGCGTGTTGGGCAAGGGGAGGAGACAATGTTGCGAGCCTCTCGCTTCCTCTCCTCCGCGCGCCGGCGCGCATCTGCGCCTCCGGAGGATCGAGGAGCTGAGCGCTCAGCCTTTCGCCGCCTCGTCCGAGCCGCTGCTCTTCCCTAAGGTTACTTTTTCCTCCACTTTGTTCTGGTTGCTGTTATTCTTTCTCTGTTCCAGGTCGAAGGAAAGGCCGTCGGATCCAAACTAAGCAGCAACACCCATTTATTTCTGTTTGGGTTTACATAGCGGGTTTATTTCTATTTGTATGAACACCCAGGATAGTTGGTATAAAATGTAACAGTAAAATCAGTACAGTGAACAATCAAAGTTAAAATTGATGTATTTTCGTCTTAGTGTGTGGCTGCATCTGGTTGATCTTGGCTGAACTTCAAAAGTTGGCAGGGTTAGTACTGGGGTGAGAGACCACCAGAAAATTTTAAGGAAGTGGGATAACAAAATGTCTTGGAAGAAGCTATAGCAAACAACTTCCCTAATTTGCCAAGAGGACTACACTGATATTTCAGTGAGGTCTCCAGGAGTTCAGATGCACTCAAGGAAGTTTATGCTGGCTTGAACGGACTTGATTTAAATTCAGAGACTGCAGATTTACTCATGTTTGTTCAGAGTAGAGGAAGCAATGAACACTATGGGCTTTACTTCTGGGTAGAAAGATTCAACTGCAAGTAACATTATAGCCCAAATGTGGCTTGCTGTTTTAAAAACTTAAGAAATGGTTTATGGACTAATAAAACATCTAGCAGCAGCAGAACAGTCTGAAGACCAGAGAGTACAACCAGTACATTTTAATTTGCTGAAAAGCTAAGCAGCATTTCAAAAGAAGTTTAACATATTGTCTAAAGCTAAACAGAAAGACCTCTAGGGAGGTTTTAAATAATAGAATCACACAGGCAGAGATGATTTTTCAGGTCACCTGCTCTACAGAAGCCATTAAGGGCTTTATGGATAGAGCCTGAAATAAGCCCAGTGAACTAGGGAAAATGGTTCAGCTGCACCACTCTGTTCTAACTGCACTTTCTGAATACTCTAAAAGAGCACCCTTGCATCATCTGGAAAATTAAATTAGAAAAGCAGCCAGGAAAGTAATGGCTGACATCAATCTCTTTTTTTTAAAATTATTTATTTTATCAACAAATCAAAGACATTTTAAAAAGAACACCCGCTCTTTTTTTTTATAGTCTACGTATGGTACATGGTATCTTCTACCTCACCAAGACACGGGGCAGAAGATATATCCTGACATTTAACAGTGTCATACTTTAGTCCATGGGGAGACTTGGAATGGAGCTAGATGCATTCCAGTAAGATCTTGATTCCTCCAAAACCAAATGAGAATTAGCAGATAAGCAAATGCTAAAAGGAATCTGGATCCACGGCTTTTAACAGCTGGGTGGAAGAGAGAGGCTCAATGTGTATCAATATTTAATGTCATACAAATTTTGACTTTTTTTTTTTTTGGCATCTGGTTGCAACTTTACTCTGCTATGCCCTTACAGAGGCAAAGAGAGAGAATAGCAAGGTGGTCAAAACCCAGACCACAATACAACCTTTCTTATTGTTGTATTATATTTCGACCAGCAAATTAATGTTGTGGGAGGAGATCTTTAGTCAATCTCCTTAATGTTGGCTGGGAAAATACGTATTTAATCTATTGGAAGTAGGAAGCCACCCAAGGAAACAGTTAAAAACTGGGCAATAGCTATGATGGAAATGTGCTAACAGAAAATCAGGAAATTGCGAAGGACTTCAATGAATTATTCGCAGCTGTCTTCACTGTTGAAATGAGCAAGGAGAATTGATCACGTTCTGAATCAATTTAGACTTTTGGATACAATGGAATTCCCAGTTGGTTATAGGTCTCGTAGCAATTTGGTAGCACTCATAACTCGTTTGGGATTAGAAATTGTGCTGAAGTCCTCTTAACATGATTGTAACTCAGAGGGCATCATTCTGCCCTTTCTCCTTTCCCTGTCATGCAGAAATATGTGTACATTTGTTAACATAACCATGAAACACACCCTTTCTTCCCTCCTTCCCTCTCACACACATATGACTTTCACTTATTCAGGAAATCAGCAATACATTATGGAATCCATGCTGTGGAATGAACTAGGAAGAAAGCCAAACATAATTCTTTAAATAGCCATGAGTGCAAATAATAGCTCTCTGCATAGGATGCAATATGTTATTTAAAAAAATAATGATTTTTAGTCTGTGGATGCAAAAATCATTACCTTATGAATGTACATGAAAGTTTTAAGAGGAATGTTAATAATTCACAGGCAATTTTTGGATATTTTATGCTGTACAAAGGTTATCTGAGCAATGGAACATTCCTCCAGTTCCTCTAGAAATGAAGATTGTGATGATCCTAAGTTACAATGGGATCGAGTGATGACTGAAAAAGAATGGCTACAGTGCTGGGAAACAAGCAATATTGGATTTCATAAAAATGAAGAACATCAGTAAGTATTCTGCTAGCCCAGGAGTCCTCATCCCTTTCAGCCTGATGGTCACTTAAAAAACAAAACAAAACATTGGCAGTTTGCAAAATGTCTGAGAGGGGCCTGGTCCATTCACAACATAGTTGCCAAGGGGATGTGACCTCTTTTAAACTGCCTACTTGTGACGTTATTCCTACTCTACCATCTTTGCTTTTGACCTCTTTCTGGCCAGGGGCACTGAGCTGCAGTCACCCATGAAGTTTATCAAGCCCATTTGGGCTCAGAGACATTCTTGAAATAAAGGTGATACTGTGGCTCGTATTTTGCTTTAGCGTGTCAGCTTCTCTTTCTTTCTTTCTTTCTTTCTTTCTTTCTTTCTTTCTTTCTTTCTTTCTTTCTTTCTTTCTTTCTTTCTTTCTTTCTTTTTTGTACAAGAGTCTAGAGAAGCTCCTGAGCAACACCTGGGGACCCTGGTACTAGTGCTATGTTATAATGTGTTTTATGGCAGAAGATTTTTTTCCCTTCCTCTTTCCATCTCTCCCTTCTCCTCACGTTTATGGTCACAAAAGACTTACTTACACTCATAGCCATAGAAATGTATTTTGATGGCTGTTAATTCAGAGTAGTTAATTATCTTCTGCAAATTAGCTTCGCAGAATCACAGGGTGCATTCTTGCTCACTTACTGAAAGTATCATCATCATCATTATCGTCCGCCTTTTATTTTGTACAGTTCAAGGCAGCATACATAATACACTTGCCTCCTATTTTCCCCACAACCACCACCCAGTATTTGCAATACTCAGAGAAAACAAACAGTATGATTTATTAGTGAGTGAAACCAACCATGTTTTCTTCTGTATTCTTATTACAATAAATAAACAAATCTTTTTGCTAACTAATTTTGAAATACTGAAGAAAAGCTCAGTGCTTGAATTGGTATTTTCCTCCCCAGATTATTAATTGGTTCTATAAGTAGAACCTGAGTGTGACAATCAGTTACTTTATGCTGTTTAAAACAAATAATATTTTCTTTCTTTTTTGGTAGACTCCTGAAGAAATACCTGGATATTTTTGTCAACGGCAGGAAAGAACTAAGGATATTTTTTCCACTTTGTGGGAAAGCTGTTGAAATGAAATGGTAAATGAATGGTCAAATCATTTCAGTTTTATCTAGATATTGTTATACCACTTCATGGGTATAAACAAATAGTAGCAACCAATAAAATATGGAAAAACAGATTGTGTAATGTTGCTGAGTCACTCGTATGTATTTTCAGCCATCATGTGATCTTCTGCTTCACCAGACAAACTCAGTCCCTGTATTTTGGAATGTTCACCTTGCTAAGTCATTCTCCTCAAGCCAAGAAATAAACCAGCTTTCCCCAAGCTCCATCCTCCAGAGCTTTGGACTACAGCATCCATCATCTATGAGCACTGATGGGCTACTGGGACAGATAGAGCTGTAATCCAAAACATCCGAAGCCTATCTGGTTGTGAAAATGAATGAGAATTTAAACAACTCCAATTTAAAATGTCTTTATAACTTAATCAGTTCATTGAGACAAGGCATTGTCTGTTAAAATAAGCAGGAACTGTGCAGGGACTCTAGCAAGCAGTCAGACCCCTGGAAGATAGCCAGAGATGTTAGCTGACAGTGATGGAACAATAGAGAGGCATGATTAGAATAGTTGAAGGTTGAAAAACATGTGGCCATCCAGATATTGCTTAATTATAGCTCCTTGGGTGAGGCTGTTAAGCCTTATGGCCCAGCAACATCTGGAGGGGTAATAGCTCCCCACTCCTAGAATAATCAATAAAAGATTGAAACTTGAGTTTTGAATAATATTGCAATCCATTCGGATGCAAATACTTTTTAATTTATTATGGAAGTCTTTATGGTAACACTGCTAGTATCCAAATGGATTTTTCTATGCTTTTTTGGTTTGATGGTCACCAAAGAAATCAATGTAATTTGGGTTGTCTCTCGCTTTTAACGGAATGCTGGGGGAAAAAATCTCATTCATTACATCAGTACAGTGATCCTTTACGATGCTATGTTTTGTCAAATGTTCCCAGTTTATCAAAGATCCACCAACTGAGTGGGTTTAATCAATATGGAAATAAACTTTTAAAATGTAAGAGTTAATAATGTAGACAGATTTCACATTCAAAGTAGATGCTGCACTCCACCGTGCATCGACATCTTGATATTCCATTTTAAGTAATTTTATTATATCAATATTGAAAAAAAGGGGATGAAGACACCTTGTGTTTTTAACTTCATGGAAAAAATCCCAGTGATATTTAGCATATTGAAAACTCTTAGAGAAACTAGAGAAGCAAGGTAAGATAAAGCATTCAGTACCACTTCCTACCCTTCCATTGCATTGTGCTTCTGTTTCTTCAGTCCAAAGCTTTCTTTGCTTAAAAAAATAGCTAGAGCTCTTTTGCACACAATATGCTGATTGTTAGACAATGGCAGTTGTCCACTAACACCCAAGAGGACTTTGATCTATCTTATTTGATTGTAAAAAAAAAACAAAAAACCCTCAATAACACTGAAGTAAACATGGCATGTTTTATTGTTCCGTATAGGTTAGCTGACATGGGACACCATGTGGTTGGTGTGGAGATCAGCGAAAGTGCACTGAAAGACTTCTTCACCGAACAAAATCTTTCATTTACGGAAGAAATGGTTCCAGAAATCCCTGGAGCTAAATTATTGAAGGTATGCATTGAACCCTCTGTTTTCTTTGTAGAAATGTATTTATGTTTATTAGTGTAGCTTAGCCTAAAAGTTTATCAGTGGCCCAAAATCCCTGGTTTACTGCAAACCATGATTTAAAATATGGATCCTTGCAAACCATGATCTAAAATAACAACAATGACCATTGAGCATCATTAAAATACATTAAATGAAATAATAATATTGATTATTCCAGAGGTAGTATAGTAAGTAATTAAGAGCATGAGGGTATTAATGCTGAAAGTGGAAGTAAAATCTGTAATTGTTATTGAAAGGATAGAATTTCTTGATGATAGAAGTGAACTTCTTGATGAGAACTGAAAAATTCATCCCTCCTTTTAAAGTTCCTTTATTTAGGCTGAAATCTTGAATAGACACCTTGCATGTTTAAAGTCAGATACATCACTATCCTTAAGCATTATATATAATATGTATATACGTTTATATATATTAATGCTCATCCTAAGTGAAAAATTAATATATTTTATCGCTTTTATTATTTTAATGCTTAACTTTTAATAATTTTCTGCCTATAGGAATGGTATAATATTATTACTAATAAAATCCAACTAATAATAAAATAAAGTAGGATATTTAGATGTTAAGAAATTGTGTTAATTACATTTTCTGCCATGTTGCTTTATTTTTGATTTTTTTTAAAAAAAGTTCATTTACTTTTCACTGTAGAGCACATCTCTGAATATTTGTCTGTACTGTTGCAATATCTATGATTTGACCAGGTAAGAACAAATTAATACTGAGTCTTTCCACACATTATAATGCATTTGATGACATTCAACTCCACCTGTAATGCAGCATAGGTAGCATCTGTGGGAAACAACATCTTGCTCTGGCTCAAGTGTGTACATGATGTGTAATCTGCTTTTCATGCCATAAAAACAGAGCTGAGTTCACCCATCGTGCTAATAGTTTGTTAAATGGGTTAGATTATACATAACATCAAGCGAGGGATCAACTGTCTTTTCAGGCATTGGCACTGTGCCATAATATTGTGTAATGATGTAGGTCTCTGAAATGATTTTAAAATATTTTAAAATGGCCCAAAACTCACTAGTTCATCAAATCTCCTGATATTTTGATACTCTTACCATAAGATCTCATGCAAGAATGTTGACATTAGATAGCATCATTGAAGCAATGAGCATGAAACTGAGCAAACTGAGGGAGACAGAAAGACAGGAAGGCCTGGTGCGATATGGTTCATGGGGTCACAAAGAGTCGGACACAACTTAACGACTGAACAACAACAAAAAAGTGATTTCACCAGATTTTGGGGATTTTTGAGAAAAGATCAATTTAGTCAGGGGCTTCCTGGGTGCCAGTTATGGGTTTGTAGATGCTGTGCCATGTGCCATAATCTGTTGGTTCACAAATGAGGCTAAGCCAGAATCAAACACACCATATTATGGCTTAGTATTATGTGCAAATGAAGCAATTATGTCAATTCATTTTTTGATTCTTGGATCATATTAAGCACAATGCAGTAAAATACATTCTTCCTAGTTCTGTAGAATGCTATGCATCGATACCAAAGCTGTATCTTTAGGCTGTTTCTTGTTCATGTGAATTTTAAAACGTTTTCTCTTCTGCTTTTTTATGCAACATTGCTTTTCTGGTATGACTAATTGCACAATAATAACACATACAATTTCTGATGTGACTTTCTCTCTCCTCCCTGTAGCACTGTGACTGGTCATTTTGATGGGATTTGGGACAGAGGCTCTCTAGTAGCTGTTAATCCTTCTGAAAGAGAACGGTCAGTAACTAATATTGCATTTTATGTTCATATCAGGATCTGTGGTGTTGGTCACTGAAGCCTTCGGTGCTAAGGAAATAGCCCTTTCTTCCTAAGTGAATAACTTGCTCCAGTCATTCTACACTTGGGGTACCTTTACTAAATAACTTCTGGCACATTAAATGAAATGATTATGGAAATACCTGACACAGACTGCAATTAAGGTCATTGCATTTACGTCACTACTTGAACTGCATTGTTACAGGTAACATGTAAGGTGTGGTTAGGCTTGAATGCATTCAAATACTTCATTTCTCTTCTACTGACAACCGCTGCTGCAGCATTGCCGTAAGAGGGGTCAGAGAGGCAGCGCAGTGAGTTAGTGCAATGGGCTGAGTGTTCCGAGAAACCCATCAAGATGTAGCTGGCCGTATATAACTGTTGCTTCAGGGTTGGTTTCCACTCAGAACAGTTTGGTATCCAAAATAGCTTTTCTACAATTCCTTGACACTTTTCCCCACAATTGTTTCTTTATCCTTTTGGAACCTGTACTGGGCATTGCTTACATCTGGACTTTTAGAATGTCGAGGGTTGCTTTTAGAATTTAATTCTTAACCATCTTGGATGATGTTACTTGCTTCTGGAGTTATTGACTGACATATTCGGATGGTGATCTGTGCCTGCTCTGGACAGCGCTACCCATCTTTCATTTTGCAGCCTGATAACCAGTAGTCCCCAACCTCCCAAACCTGACCTCTAGTCAAGGTTGACTAAGTAGGTGCTACTGTAGGTACAGCATGAATCTACTGTGATATAAACAGGAGTTTAAAAATGTGTATGATACATACCGCATAAAGCCACAGTTTACAGAACAAACCATGATTGGCTGAGTTTACCCAATGCAATAATGACACAAACGTATAGTTTACAAAACATAGCAGCTAGGTTCCCATGTCACAATAAATCAAAACCAAACAAAATAATGCTGTGGTGTAGCACACTGTACAAACCCAGCCAGTGTGAAGCCTGAACTGAAAATTCAAATAGGAACCTGCTTCTCCTTCCCCAGGCACATAGATGGGTGAGATCCAGTGTGCTGTAGTGGTTAATGTGCCAAGGAGATACAGGTTCAAATCCACCTTCGACTATGAAACCTCATTGGATGACTCTAGGCCAGTCACTCTTTCTCCACAGACCTACTTCACAGGGTTGTTGGGGAGATAAAATGAAGGAAGACTCCATGTAAGTCTCCTTCAGCTCCCAGGAAAAGGATGAGAGGGGAGGAGGAAGCAGCAGCAGCTACGTGGTTTCACACTCCACACTAAGCTGCAGCATAGTTTTGGTTTAGCATAATTATAGGAAACTAACCTTTGTAATAAGTCAGTTGTATTCTCCAGATTAGTAAGACAATTGTGTGAATCAACCCAATTGTGACTTAAATCGGTGTAAGAATCATAGTTTATTGTGTTGTGTGAATCCAATCTTTCTCATATTAATCTTGCATCTTCAATTCTTTCTTTCCCCAATATGTGGTTCTTGTCCTTTCCTTTTAGTTATGCCCAGTTGATCCTATCACTAATGAGTAGAATGTGTCGCTGTCTTCTAGTTACTTTGTTATATGATGCAAGAAAACACAAAGGTAAGATATTGGAGTTAAAACCTCAGCTAGATATTGTGAGAATCTTACAATGATTTACAACCTTTGGAGCTGGAAGTAACGTCTCAAGATTAATATGGAACTGGGTCAAGGGATTGGTCTGGCACAATTAGACAGCAGCATGACTTTAGCAAGTCTGAACAGATGGGGGCCCTCAGTGAATGTTGGTCTGTTTTCGTACATCTTTCCAATACTTTTACTGTATTTATTCAATGATATGTATCTTTTTCATGGGTTTAGCTTTTAAACTGGGCAACCATGATAATTTATTTTTTTTAAAATCTATTTAAAAACACAATGTAGTGCAAAAATATGATTAAAATAGGCAAGATCACTAATGTATAAGAACATAATTTAATGAACAATCTAAGTATACATGGATCTCCAGGATACAGTGATTGCAGTTAATTTTTTTTTTAATCCACAATTCAGTGTCCTAGGAATCTGCCACAATTTTTTAGCACCCAGTTCAAAACTAAAACTGGGAGTACAGTTTTAAATATCAAGAGCAAGCCTTTGCATAAGGTTTCTCAGGTGATTGTCCTTTTTTTTCACGCGTATCTACTCCCGTTCATCTAGTTTTGGAAATATAAATGGATTGTTACAGACTAAATTGACATTAAACTAACTACATCCCTGAATTCTCATTTTTTAAAAGTGAACACTTAGGGCCATGGCTGGTTTCACTTTAACTTCTTATGTTCATCATTTCTATTGTAGGTCCACCATTCTATGTTTCTGATTCAGAAGTGGAAAGTTTATTTGGTGAGTCGATGGAACAGAAGTCTTAACTTGCACTTTACAGTTGCACTTTACAATTGCAGTTGCCTCTTCAGGTGGGAAAATGCCTTGTCAACAGACAAGGAGGGGACAGAGCCGTCGCAACTGACCCCCAAACTAGGACCTTAGCATGCTATTTGGGGGAGGAGGCGCTGTTAAATCCAAATATCTGATCAATCTAAATGAATGGCATTTGTGTCACTTTACATTATTCACATAATCAATGTAAATGGCATCATTTGTACAAAAAAAATCTTGGTTTAATAGACAAAACACTCAATTTAATGAAAAATTTGTCCATTGCATGCAAAGTCCACTAAACTGAGGTCTGTAAAATAGAGGGTGCATCAAATAATCCCATCGACTGATGTGCAGGTGTAGTTGCACATATGAAGGATCTCTTTCTCTCTCTGCAGATGATTCCACTATTTGGAGCAGAGCTGCTGTTCTTCTTGCCTTCTTGCATTTGTTGTTGTTTAGTCGTTAAGTCGTGTCCGACTCTTCGTGACCCCATGAACCATATTGCGCCAGGCCTTCCTG